TCTTAAACTTAATTATTAGACATAATTAACTACATTTTGATTATTTAAATAGTTGCTCGTTATTTTGAGATTTTATTTAATATTTAAAATGAAACTTAAAAATATTATTTTCAGTTTAAGATTTGTTAAGTAGCTGTTCAATTCTTTTAAGTTTTAATTTAATTTTAATGTGGGTTTTCTCATTATTGTATTATAATAAAGTAGGTAGTGTAGAACTTAATTAAATTAAAATAATCCAATTAATGTTTCTTCATTTAATACAGGTCAAAAAGCTTTTGTGGTTCACTTATTGACTAACGCACTAAATTGTAACACACCGACATGAGTAATATAAGTATGCAAGCATTACTACGACAATATAAAATTCATGATGTACCTACCTACCTATAAGAGTTCTTAAGCCTTAACACATAAATTATAATTATTGCTCGAGCGTTGAATTATAACTACTTAGCAAAGTAACGAGTAACACTTGATAAATAACATCCGTTGTATAGTCCTTGTGATGTTTATTTTGTAATTAAACATATTGATACAAACGTGTAGTGTGTCTTCATAGGATGCATACATATTTTTCTTCTATTCTTTTATTAATTGTTTTTTTATGCTTGAAATATTATTTTTTTTACTCTAAGTGAATAAGGATAATCTAATAGTTAGTAAAATATTGTTCTATAATAGTTTTAGAGTATCTATATACCTTAATACCTATCATAATAATTTTTTATTTTAATGTTATGCCTAATAATTGTCATTCCATTAGTGCAGGTTACTATTATATTTTGTTGTTATTTCATATATAAGTAGATTATATTTCAACTTAATAATTATAGCTAAGGTACAAAAACCTGATGATGGATTTCCTATATTTTTTTCAACTGCATGTAAACCTTTGACACGTGTTTATGTGATGTAGATGCCAAATATTGTTATATATACTATGCATTAAAAAAACGAGGGTCGTTGTACTCGGTATATTTTTATTCATAATTAATTTACTTGTTTACATCTGTAAAATGCAATAACTTTTTAATTTTTAAAAGGGAAGGTTAAATACAAAAGTTACAAGCAATCAAGTGCTTGAATATTTATTGGCTTTTCAGGTATAATAAATAATCACACAAATATTTACCTTAAATTTAATTAAAATTTAAACATTCCCAATTACTTAATAATTCTGAAGCGCTTCGTACTTTTATATTTCATCAAAAAGATAATATTACAAAACTCTGGAAATTCAAAAATGTGTTAATCTTTTTTTAAATTTAATTTTGATTTAAATTATAAACAGTCTGTATGACTGATGCTCTCTTAACTCACACCCAAATTATTCATATTATGATAACAAAAAAATATATGAACAGTTTTTAAAAACTGACTGGTTGATCATATTATTCAATTGTTTAACTATAAAATAGTTAAATTTATAAAATAATCATTAAAAAATCATTCACTAGATATCCTGAAGATATTAGGATTCAGAAACAAAGTTGTCAGACAAGTTATTCGTTTTTTAAAAAATATTTTTAGTTGATAAATACAATTGGGTACGTTCTATATTTTATAACCAGAATATAAGTCAAATTTGGTGATTTTAATAATTAACGTAAATATTCAAATATTCAAAACAGGAAATAACCCAAGATCGATTTTTGTGTAGTTATATTACCTATCATGGACAACTATAATATAGCAGTGTCCATCCATCATCGTATCTCTATTGTACGAATTTGTGTGCATTATATACGATATATACGTTTTAAAATATGAATCTTCAGAATGATCCATCAATGTCAACGGTTAGTGAGGCTGTGAAATGTATACGAAATGCTTAGGTTTATTAGACATACAACTGTTCATGATTTGTCTTTCAACACACTGAGTTTATAAGATATTTAGGTAATATCTAATGATGGCACAACATTAATTTTTATTTTCATTTTTGTGGTTACTTGTACTTTTGTTAAATCTTAGATTTTATGTTGAAGACTAATAATTTTAATATCAATAACTTTTCTTAAAAATTTGATAAAATAAATAGTTTTTATTGATCACTTTATTTTTACAGTCTACTGCAACGTGTTAGCTTAATAATTTGTTGTGGAATCAGTATTTAAAATGTCATCTATAATCTGGGATCTACATCTTTTTTTGACATAGGTACTAAATTGGGTATGACATTGATACTATATATTATGACGAGTTCATAGAGTAATAATATTTTAAATACAATATTGCTTTTTAATAGTCGCAAAGTAAAAAAAAAGTTTATTTGTATATTCATTGTTTCACATAATTACATAAGTAATGTATACAAACAGACAAATTAAATAATTTGTCTACAAAAGCTTCAGTTGAAGACAATAGTTCTAAATTATTATCTAATTAATTTTATATACAAAGTAAAGAAAAACATTTTTTTAGACACTACATTATAATAAAGGATAATTAATAAATAAATATAATGTAACAATTCATTTTAAGAGTACAGAATTACGACGAATCCTCATCCATATTAATGAAGATAAATTATACTCAGTAATCAATGTTTAATCAAATATGTTATTAAATCATTATTGCTTAGTCAAAAATACATTTTATATTACCTATGGAAATTGTTATTATATTAATTTATGTATTCAATACTTTTGAATTTCCTGATAGAAAAAGACACAAACATATTTTTTCATAGTTAATTTTGAAAGAATTGCTATCGAACCATTTATTAATACGATCCATAATTTGATTTTCTTTAAATGTACATTTTGATTTTTCAAGATCAGTTAAAAACAATGGCCCCAACCCAGAGGCAGATTTTGAGGGACACCAAGCTTAAGAATTATATCCTCACTAAATATGTGATTAATTGTTATACTCGTTTCCAACGATTTGTCAAAAAAACGTCTAAGATTATTAGCCACACCACGAACACCATAGTTAAATTAATATTATATGTACAACAAATTAACAATTTTTTAAGTATATATGTGAATGGTAAGGCAGTCACATATTTTATAGCATTCTAATTTAAAATGAATTTTGTATCGTTAATATAAAATCCATCAACTCGTAAGTGTTTTGGACGAATTCGCCTGCGAGAACTCTTCGGATTTTAAGGAATGCATCTTTAATTTAGTATCTATTTTTAAAAATGGCATTTCGAGTTTCAACATTTCAAGCCTAAAACATGGGAACAAAGATAGGCTGTACATCACCTGCAGACTGTAGTTTTAGTGATACATATTCTATATTGTCATATATTTTAATTTTGAACTACTATTGTTTTAATTTTAAAGTTCATTAATCTTATGATTTAATTATGAGTCAATGCTTAAGTGTGTATAAATGTTTACTAATTAATTTTTGTATGGATAATATATAATTAGCAGGTAGACAATTTAAATAGGGATTTCATATTTTAATATATTAAATTTTACTAATGCATTCATTTTTACTTCCATTATATCTGTTACCACTTACCATAATTGATAAAATAACTGTAACCATAAAAAATAATGTACATAATTAATTACAATGATAAACGAAAATTATAAAATATAATTTTTTGATTTACTATGCTCATTTACCTCATTGTTGACTAAAATATAAATGTTAAGTGTGAATATTATAAAGTATATCAAGCTTACTTTATAGTATAATTGATATTATCAGTATCATAATTTGTGTAACTAAAAGTATGAGGATTGTAAGTGGTTACCCCCGAGGTTTAAAAATGTACACATTTCTTTATAGAAATATTATAAATAATATTAAAGAGTTATTTTGTTTAATTATATTCTTAGCTGAATTTGACATTTGTAATTTTAAAAATAATTATCTTAAGAAGCATTGAATATTGGAAAATAATTATAATCAACAAAGATCTAAAAATAGTTCTGAAATATAAGAAAATCCATCACACATAGCACATTTCATAATAATATCGAAAAGGCGACAGCCAAAGACAAATTGGTTGTTAACAGTAATTTAAATGTCATTTTTGGAAATTATATTAATTTAAACATAATATACTGCATGAGATATTGATTAAATTTATATTTTGCAGTCTTAAACTAAGCACTTTGATTGTAAGTCAATATAATAAACATGTGATTAATAATTATGTTATACAATTTATAAACAGAGTCGTTAACACATTATTTAGATTCAATTTGTTAAAAATTAATTTTTGAGTTTTAAACGAACCATTTTATCATTTTTGTAAAGCATTTTTGAGGCATGTTGATTGATCCTGAAAAAAATTAAATTAAATTAAAGAATTTAAATTTAAATATTTTATTATTAAGAAAAAAGGATATCAATTAAAATGTGTAAGTGTATGACTTTATGAGTAATGACACTAGGTAAAGAAATTCACGTTGACTATTACACAATTGTTAGTGCAATTTGTATAGTAAATACAATTATTTTTATAATGTTTTTTATGTGAAAACACTTTTTTGTTGACATTTTGAGTTAATACATTTTTTTGGCATTAAATATACATTTTATAAAAAAAATATTACATGGTTAACGTTTTAAAAATATTATATTATGCCGTGATCATGTTAAAATGCGTATTTACTCATCGTAAATATTGTTATTTAAAACTTTTTATAATAAATAAAAATACCTTTTTGTAATGCTATTCATACCGGTAAAACCCTCTATCCCAAGAGAATATCTGCACCGGTGGGATAAATTATATTTTTTAATAAAACAGAATGAAATACAGTATACCTAATATGAATTATATAATATGATACAATATCTGTTGTACGAAAAACAACGCATTTGATAGGAAACTCATACATATTGACCTATATAATAATTATATTAATAATGATGATAGTCAACAACAATATACAATGTAATCGTTTTTTATAAGTGTAAAAATATATTCTTAATGATGTATATTGTAAAATGCATTGAGTTGAAAATTTAAAAAAAAATGTAATCACAATTAATATTGTTATTAATATACATTGTTTTTTGTCTAGACTTAATCATGACATCACCCGCCGCATCACCACAAAAGCCAGCCATCACCAATTCCACCGCGTCTCCAGTCCGCTTGCCGAGCGTACAGCCGACTCCCACGCACAACTCGCAGCCCACCGCCGCACAGTCCGTCCAGGGTAAATGGCAGTGCGCTCTGCGGGACAACCCTGTGATCGCCAGCGGAACTATGGCTTGGACGCGAGTGTGGAGATTTTCCAAGCTCCTGCTGCAGACTGGATGTTAAAAAAATACAGCGACGGATTTTCACGCTAAAAAATTATTACTCTCTCTCTTTCACTCTCTATCTATCTCTCTCTCTCTCTATCTCTCTCTTTTTCCGTGTCAGCAAGACGACAGCATTTTTATTTTAGAATAAATCATAAAGTCGTATATATTATATATGTGCGCATCATTTTCACTATAGTTCGGAATAGTTATTATCGACGTGTGTGTATAATAATATTTTAACGACACGGCCGTAATGTAATATACGACTAATAATATAAGACTATACGATAATGACGTATTATTATATATTATATAATATATTATGGACTAGTGTGATGTACGTTAAGTTAAAGTGGTTAGTTATAACTTAAATATATCATTATATATTGTATGATCTACACCGAGGCGTTTGTATCGTGTTCCCTGCCCACGTTGTCTCGTACCTTTGTAATATTATGTAGACTTAGTATAATAATGCCACACAATTAATTTGTTAACTCTCGAATTAATGATTTTTATTATACCTAGTAAGCGTTTTTTATTTGTTTTTTTTTTAGGATTTCTTTATGATAATATCGACTACTATAATATCGCGTCAACCAAAGTTAGTTGTTTTTAATTGTTAAGTATTATGTACAATCGCACATCCGAAATTCGATTCATCGATTGTAAATTTGTAACTATGTAACGTGTAATAAGTGTATATTTTATGTAGTACAAAAATATCAAGAAACAGCTAATCGTCCATATTTTGCGGTTCATCCTGCAATATAGTTGAAAAGTAAAAGTCCATTGCTAAGTCAAGAAAAACACTATTTTCTCATTGAATATAGCATTTATGTTTCGAATAAAGACTATTGCCACGTAGACAAGCTACGTGTTGACAGCAATTCATATGGGCATAAGAATATTCGAGATAAAATACATTTGTTAATAAATATGAAATAATAATAATAATAAGACCAAAGTAATTTATTGTTATGAATGAAATCAAAATGTACCCACAATATTCCTATTTATTTAATATAGATCTATCGAATCAACAATAGCACGATAAGTCTGTTAAATGATTTCGAAAATTTGTAAACGTATGGAATGTAACAGTGTTACAGTCATAGATGAATACATTAATGTCTAGAAATTCGGATGAATAAAACAATATGACGTGAAGCGTCACTGGTAAAAGTACCACTAACATTTTTTTGGTCCCTTTGCAGGCCCTACAATAGTACGTAATTTTATTGGATGATAAAACAACAATAATTATTATAGGCAATATTGTAATGACAGGGACGTATCATATAACTGTACTGTGCAATTACTAATCATAGATACCTATACTATAGATATACAATTGTGAAATTAGACTACTGTTTTAAGTTGTGCGCTCCTATCGTAGCAATAAAATTAAAATGCAACCGTTACCCGTAATTGTTAGTGTACACGTTAACGATTTTACTTCTTTTATATGCCGGGTTGCATACACAATTATTAAACATTTATTGAATAGCTAGAGAGCTAAAAGTCCCTTATGAATGCTTTAGTATAGCCCGTGATTGGTTTGTTAAAATCAAGTGATTAAATTCAATTAAATCATTAAATGAATCAATTTTTTATGTAACCCGGATTTATATTAGCATAGATAAGTGTTTTACGTAATTTGAAAGTTTGGATTTATTAGTTGTTTATCATATTATTATACATTGTTATCAATTTGACTAATCGTAATTCGTTATTTGAACTTACTAAATTATATGACATTTTACTCATATTATTTAATATTTTAAATAAGCACGTTTTTTAACTTCGATACGTAGAGGGGTACGTTGAACATTTCAGGTACCCCCAATAATAAACCAATAATTTGACTTCGTTAATAAATTCCCGCCAGCTTCTCCGTTTGGTTGTAAAATTTAATAATACTATATTCTTGATTATGTGATGAATATGTGCAAACCAATTCTGTTTACGACTGTCGTCATTTTAGACAAACAAATTTGAATTGCAATTTTAATAATAAATATCGAAGACGCGTACCAAATATCAAATTTGTTCATTACTTACTTAATACTTGCCTCGTATTACGATTATTGTTGAATTGTGTATCTCATAATTAACTTAAAGGAATAATTAATTATTGTTATAATTATAAATTATAATATTTGCTAATATTGGTAATGCATTTTTACGTTTCAATGTATACTAGTTTAAGTGACGTTTTGTATTTTTAAAAGACATTTTGTAGAGTGTTTCTTAAATATTGTTTATCATATGGATTGTTGTAAGTAAATTTTTACAATTTATTATTATCATTATTAAAATATATGAAAATCACAAATATATTTTTCTGTATTTGAATGCCAATCACCTTGATTTACACGAAATAATTTAGATCAGCGAATCTCAAACTTTTTTTTCGCGTACCACTGTATATTATCAATCATTCACTTACCAGTGTACCACTGGTGGTTAAAAATAGAAAGATACAAACTTTACATAGTTAAATACATTTATTTTAAATAAAAATGCAGTAAAATACTACATAATAATTATAAATTATTTATTAATACAAATGTATTAGTGTTTAAAAATTAAGGTATGAATCAAATAACAAATTGTCAATGAAAACCATGGATTTGTAGATTTGATATTAGCGATGAAATATCTGGTTCAGTGTTACTTATAAGGCCATTCGTGTACCAACATGTAGTCTTTCGTGTATCACTAGTAGTACGCTTACCACAGTTTGAGAACCGTTGATTTAGAATCTAAATTTTAGATAGATACTTACACGGTTTATTATAATATAATATAGTATTACGTTTCGTATGGGTACTGTATAATAATTGTATAATGGTGTGACTTGATGATGTGTAGATTTTTCCAAGTAAATATCTCGCGGTAATACTAAGGACGTTTTTCACTAATCATTATTCAATAACCTACTTTAAAAACCTGTAAATTGAGATTTGTGATGTATCGTGTGCCTACACCTCGTACCCGACTTGTTAAATTATACAACTATTGAACTACATATTATGTAGACATGTAGTAATTCTAAATACGCTGAAATCATCTAAAAAATAAAACAAGAACAGTACAAATCAATAGGTACAGTAAACTCAACTAAATGTGTTGATATAACATTCATAATTCATATTAATATAGCTAATAGAATTAATTATACCAGGTTACTGGTTAGGTTATATTTTATATGTTTAACATAATATATTATATATTTATATACTGGTTGCCTGACTAGTTCATAAGACAATGGACATAGAAAAATAAATATGATTATAATCCGAAGGACCGACAATAATTATGATTTAAATATTGTGTCTAAAATCAATAAGTATAATAATTAATATCTATCATATTAATTTTGTCGACTGGCATGACATAGATACTATTCACTGCTATATCATAATATAATGTATATTATAAAATACCAGGGCCATGATTAAGGTGGTGATGAGGAGGATAGACGACCCCCCCCCCCCCCCAGAGCTTTTATAATATATATTATTTAGTTATTACTTTGTAGCTTGTTAGGTTATGTGCTGACATCACCGAAAAATATATTAAAATAGAATTCCTTAATATAATGAATACAACAAAGTCTATAAATAGGTATTCACATGGTATAAAATCTCTGCCTCTTCTCCCCGCAAGAAAAATTGCTAGTTTATTTCGCCACTATATGATATATAGGAACAGGAGGGTGTCCATGGAAGAATTAATAATAATTCTATATTTCATAATAAACAAACCCGTATATCACTTTGATTTTACGTTATCCACTAGTTGCCACATATTGGAATATCATATCATAATGTATATTGTAACATTTCCCTCTAGAGTTATAAATGTATGTTTATTATACTTTACCATCGGTATTTAAGATAATCCAAAATAGATAGATTTGTGATATTTTTAAAATTAACATTTCATCAATTACCTACATTGAATGTATATTTTATTGCGGTCAATTCATCTCACTAATTAAATACATGTTTGTGTCCAAAATAAGTAGACTTTGATGAATCACGATAAATGTAATGAATACATTTTTTGAACGTGTCTATTGTTATACTTGTCAGCAAGTCAGCAACAGAAATGTATCGTATTTATGTTATACTCGAACAAAGAAGCTATACAAAAATAATTACAAATTAAATTAAACTATACCCTAGAATCATCTGTTCTATTGTAAAATTTAGTTTCAGATTAAATCTCATTTATTATAATTGGCCTCAAAATACTTTTTTTAATTAGAAATATTGTTAAAAAGTATCCTGGAGCATATTGTTTTAACGTTCTATAGTAATATTTACCATGTTCGATGTTTGTATACACGTGTAATAAAAATAATAATTGACACTAATAGGTAGTGCTCGACTTTAAAAAATAAAAGTAAATTATTTACTTTTACTTTTGTTTACTTTTAAAAAAAGCATCCAGGTCACTTTTTATATCTCGCTGTGAGATTGAAGCTTGAAGCCACACTCCTACTGCCACCTTTTCGTTCTATAAAAATGTAATATAATTCTTACAACTTTAAAATTCAAAATTTTAAGATTCTTAGTGTATTACTTTTTTAAATAATGAATGTAATTGTTTAAATGGTTTTAATTGTTACAATTTAATTTTATTACCAAGGTTCGCTTACTCGACAGCTGGCTGTAGACATATATTTAAATATATATGATAATTGATAATTAATTAAATACAGTGTTATCCTGGTACGTGGGTAACAAACAAAAAGTTCAAAAACGTATACCATGCGATCTACTCAAAACGTAATAGTTGAGGTACGATAAAACTTCTGAAAAGTTATTTGAGATACTGAGCCCTCCGTATCACCTTAATTTGAACACTGCTATTAGGTGATTTGGAATATTTATTTATTTTTTTTATACTCATACTTTATTAATATTTAATAATATCCATAATATGACGTAAGACCCAAATATACTATATGATAATATTATCATTTCAATAAAATAATATAATGGTGCGTGTGTTAACGAAAAAAATTCTTAAGACTTAATACTTCTTACAATTCGTTAAGACTTTATATGATTGAACAATTAATGAATTTAGTAATTTAGTTTCCTCGGGAAGTCTAACTTTTACACATAAATGTAATCTTAATCATTATATCTGCACCTACAAGGTACATGTTTGACTATATTTATTAATATGACTATAGGTATACTATTGTATGTATATAAAGGGACTGCACTTATTTTGTTTGTGCTAGATAAATTTAAAGACTACTGAGCTGATTCCTATGATGGTCTTCACTATTGTTTAAAAAATCTAAATGTGCTATGTACGGGTCAGTCATATACCCATATCTCCTTCACTCTTGAAAATTAGCAATGAAGTAGAAATATATACTCGTGGCGCTATCTCTTCAGTTTTTCCACAGACATTTTTTTTGTAATTATAAGTAACACATTTCACCACAAGGCATAGTCATAAACAACTAGTCGCGAATATCGAGTGTTAATAGTATGCATGGCTCTTCAATATGACATTTTATCCCAATAATAGGCAGTGAGTATCGAGACGTATTACAGTAAAGTACAATGTACCTATCAGGTGAGAAAAAACAAAGTCACAACTTAGTTATGTGCCTAACTGCGAGTTATAAAATAAAATAATAGACGGACAAAAATATTTATATATTATATATGAGTTTTTTGACAAGTAGAAAACGAATACTGTAAAAATTACAAACGTAAGAATTATGGTTATTTAATGTCCATAAAGTTAGTGATTATATGTTTGTGTGTGTGGGATGCTTATAGCCAAATCTACAGAAGATTTTTAAAATAAGTAAGCGGAAAATGTAGAGGGTCTGAAAGCACGGTGATGAAATATGCATTTTTATATCCCTTGTCAAAAATGAGATCTTTAGCGCTAACTGACACACATCTACTGTATACCATATCAACGTGCACCAACTAAGCTAACGATAATCATTTTTATATGTTCATTATATATGTACATTATTATACAATGGTTAGCTAGTAGGTATTTAAATAAATCCTTTTCTTATTAAATAAATAAGCCTCGGCGTCTATGGCCATTGCCCATTGGTATACAAGGAGTTTTAAGGTTAACAATTTCTTTATTTAAACATATAATATTGAAATATGTGTAAATTTAGATTGCGCAAACGAATAACCTTGGAAGTTAAACCGTTTTATCTTTAAAAAAAATAAAAATTCATTAAGTTATAAATATAAAAAAAAAAGGTAAATAAGTTTAATTAGAAACGTACAACAATAAATTCTAGAATTTATTAATTTATTATAGTTTATTATTTTAGTAGTATTCTTCTTTTTGGTACCTACCATCATTTAAGTCTACTCAAATAGTTTGATTTATAAACCTGATTAAAGAAGTTTTAAAATAAAAGAACACAAACACAAGTGGAGTGTCACTCTGATTCATACAAACTGGTGCATACAAATGATGGTTAACTATTTATGATGAATTTCAAATCCTTAGTGAATCATCATTGCATTGAAAAAAAATATTAAATTGTGTGGAAAATAAGGTAAATAAGACGTTAATTTAATACTTAAAATCATAAAAGAATGATAGAATTTAAAAATGTAATTACAATTTCCATAATTTGTTAATTTATTGTCCGGAAACTTCCATAAACAAAAACCAAACCTAACCTTTCATTACCTAAACAACATTCCAATCAATCTCCCAGATATAATTATCTCTGTTTCGTAGTGAATTACTCTTAAAAATCTACATGAAGACTTAAAAATATCCCACAGTTAACAACTAAATTGCACTACTCTAATTTTCATTGTAATCTAAGCACCCATTCTAATCCTTTTATTAAACTACAATCCTGGGCCTCACTTCTTGATAATGCACTTAGAAAGCTCAGAATAAAATGCCCTTAAGATATTTTATAAATATTATTTTAAATTAAAAACTCAATAAATTACATAATGGACCGTATAAATGCTATAGTATCAGGAATTATACTTCTATTTTCGTCATTATGCTTACTTTGTATGGACTCGGAATAAAAATACTTAAAAAAAAACTAATTTATATGTGAAACCATTCTTAATAATTAAATGTAAAAATGTATTTTACTAAAGTAGTCAGACATAATTATTAAGACCAAATAACATATCGATATGTTTTTAAATAACGAGGAAATAATTATATATGAATAAGGTTACCCCGAAGAAAAAAAACAAGTTTAATGTGCTAAGTATTTTATTTCTTTTAGAGAACTTGATTCCTTCTTATTTTTAATGATATCGTAATAATGCTAACACAGTGTCTTAAATTCTAAATAATATTCAATTGAGTAGTTTGGATCTTAGTTGTATTTACTTTTTATCATACCATATGCCCTTTCAGCGACCATGATACAAGGCACATGACTGTAAGCACTAGTAATCAATGGCAAAACAGATCGACCCACTGCTCGCAAATTAGAAATACCAATCACATTCAGTTCACTGTCAACAACAGCATCTTTGTCAGTTTCTAATCCCATACGACACGATCCAGCAGTACTGGACGTTGTAGATACCATATATTTCAATAAGCACTCCCAGTGTTCATTGGTCTTTTTGGTGTATTTTGCACATCCGTCGAGATCAATATCTTCCAATTTCGCGTTTACTAACTTCATTCCATCAGATTTCTCAATTTTGGAGAGTAATTTGATGGCTTCGATGAAACTTTTAACATCATGCTTCTCCGTCAACATATTGCCAACAATAATCGGACTGTCTAATGGGTTCTTACTTCTTAAAAGAATTTTGCTGGTACTTTTCGTGTTTATCAAAGCTATTGTAAAGATAGAAATAGCACGTTCGTAATTCAATTTAGCATACACCGATAACGAATTATCACTAAATCCAAACATTGATTTTAGTTGGCATAATTTTGAATAAGAATTTTTAGGAATGTAAAATTGATGAACTTCAATATCAGCGAATGAAGATCCAGACATACCAGTGTTTAAAAATCCACCAAAGCTCATACCGTTTGGTCTGCTTAAAGGCCCTGAATGTCTTGCTAAGTATTTGAATGCAATTTCTTCTTCTGTCTGGTTGCAAACAACTGATTTGTCGTAGGACATAACAAAACCAGTAAACACTGGAGTAATTAGGAAATTCTCACCTACTTTTAGGTCTTTGACTACTGGGACTTCCATTTCGGACAAATGCTTTTTAGGCCCAATACCCGAGGCCAACAATATCTGAGCAGAACCAACAGCCCCAGCACAAAGTAAAACTTCTAATTTAGCTTTCAGTGTTAGAGTTTGACCGAATTTCGTCTGTACTTCAACTCCGGTCGCCTTCATTTCTGTTTTGTTAACTATAATTTTTGTAACTCTAGAATATTTCATAACTTTTAAGTTTTCACGACCGAAAATTGGGCTTAGATATGCCTTAGCAGTGTTAACAGACCTACCGTTCTTTATTATTCCTTGCATTGATACAAATCCAACTTCAATGTCTTTTTCGTTGATGTCACTTTCTTTTTTACAACCGATATGTTCAAAACCAGAACATACAATTTTTTCTAAAACGCTCACTTCAGTTTTTCGGAATTTGCTTACAGGGATAAGTCCACATTTTCCATAAATAGTAGTGTTAGTTTCGGTTTTTGTAACTGAGCGAATTCTTTCGACCTTTTTGAAGTAAGTCTCCGTTGTATTATAAGACCAATTCTTTAAACCTTTTTTAACAAGTGTGTTATATAGTTGTTCACTTCCTCTGACATAAAGTTGAGCACTCGTGGTGCTGCTTCCTCCTAAGCATTTTCCTTTATGTATTTTCATGTTACCTTCAATACCAAATCCGGTTGTACTATCAGGTTGTATTTTTTACTGCCAGTCTGCAACACTATTTAGTGACCTGTCCCATAAACTAGGAACTTGAGTTATAGGGAAGGGGTCTCCACCTGCTTCAATTAATAATACTTTCCATTTGATATTTTCAGATAGTTTGTTTGCTAGAACACATCCAGCATTACCACCACCGACTATGATGAAATCGAACTCTTCATCGTTTATGACATAACGTGTGGAATCTTGGGGATATATACTATCATCCATTAGTTTGTAACGTTGATAATCCAATTGACTTAAGACTTCTCCTATTATACCAACAGAATTTAAACCATTATCAAATCTGAACTTCTGGAATGTATTCAAATATTCATACACCGACACTTCGTCTTCATCTTGTTCTTCACTGTCATCATTTTCATCGTCGTTATCGTCAGTTTTATCATTTTCATCGTCTTTGTCCTCAGTTTTATCATTTTTATCGTTTTTGTCCTCAGTTTTATCATTTTTATCGTCTTCATCCTCAGTTTTATCATTTTTATCGTCTTTATCCTTAGTTTTATCATTTTCGTCGTCTTTATCCTCAGATTTATCATTGTCATCGTCATTATCATCAGTTTTATTATTTTGATCGTCTTTATTCTCTACGATTTGTTTAATAATTGAGTTTGACTTATTATTTTCGTCACTATTTGAGTCATCAGAAGATTTTGATTTATCTGATTTATTACAATTGAGTTTATTAGATTTTATAGTATTGATTTTAGTGCTACTATTTTGAATATGTCTTGAATTAATTGTATTACTGCGTAGGTGATTAATTTGATAATTATTAACACTCTTATTTATTTGATTATTATTATTTGATGTTAGTTGATTAAATCGTCCAGAATTTTTAACATTTCTATAACTATTTGTGACACCAATTTGTAGGTTATTTTGAGTATCATCATTACTTAAATTATCTTCACCATAGTTTGATTTTTTAAGTTGATTAATTTTATGTTGCAACAAATTAGTTCTTTTTAAATTATACAACCTACCCAGATTTTGTTTATAATTTGTATGATACATATTATTGTTCATATTATTACGCAATGTTGTATATTTACTAAAATGTTGCGAATTTCCATTTGTACTTATTAAACCGTCTGACTTAGCAATATTCCTTGTATTACTGTTTAAATAATATCCATTTCTGTTGTTGTCTAATTGGGTCATCTCACTATCGGCAGACTTACTAACATTGCTTCCCGTTGAACTAAATTGTTCACCATTTTGATAAGACGAATACGTTTGGCTTCCACTAAATAATGTGTCACTCAACAGTCCCATACGAATAGCTTCTTCTATAGTTAATAACCTAGTTGTTGCTGTTGTCTGTGTGCTTGCCACATATCCTGATGGTATTGTTATAAGCATGTTTCCATTGATACCCATAGTGTTTGTGCTTGACGTAATTGTTGAGCTTCTACTTTGCTGTATAGATTTTTGAAAGTTATTACTAGTAGATCTGGACATGGCAGAACCAATAATTTTGTTCGCGATTAAAGGAACAATCTTTTTCCTTAAGATCTTTTTAGCCGACTTTTTTAGTGTTTTTTTCATCTTTTTAGAAAGAGCACGGCTATGTACAAATGTTTGTAATTTCCGTGTTGATTGGCTATCCCTGTAATCTAAGTCTTCACAACTTTCATCATTGTACTCACTGCTGTCTTCTTCCGAGTTGGTGCTAATTTTTTTAAGACCTTTTTCAAGATCTTCAAGTTTAGCTTTTGAATTTAAAACATTGAATTTCGATGAAGTTCCAACAGTAGTCGAAGAACTACTAGTTGAAGATAAGCTGATTGATATTTTTTTTTGTCTTGGTTTACTCCAGTAGCATGTTCCATCGCAAAGCCTAAAACAATACATATAATATTATTTGTTGTTAGCAGTATTATTTTGTATAAATAATTTCACCCAAAATTTAGGAATATAAGTATAGAAAGCATGCTGTATAGTATATTTGTGTATTTTTTTAATAATGTTATTATTTTTAAATCATATATTATATATATATAAGTATATATCTAATATAGATATATACATATATCAACAACACTAGATATACGGTAAATAGATAAATATATTGGTTTTACAATCATCAGCTTTGTTTTTTTTTGCCTGACATCTATTTTTGGAGATTGAAGAGCATTCAATTTTTCACTCTGAGAGTAGTGTCTGACATCAAATTAGTTCTCTCTGCTACTTTAGAAAGTCAAAAATTAAAAAAATATATCAGGAGAACTAAAATATTTTTACGAAATACAAGTTATTGACAAAATCGATTTTGTTCCTTTGTTGTAAATCAATAATGAATAACATAACTAAATTAGAAACTTGAAATTTTCAAAAAATATTATTATATGAGCTTTTTCTAAGCATTATGTAATAGTCGAAATACTTTTAATGTTTTAAGCTATTTATAAACATTTAAGTTTTTGATTTTTGATTTATGTTGATAATTTTATATAAATCTATGAAATTGAATATAAGATTACTCACTGTTGATAATTAAGCAAATAAATGTCGTCACATTTTTATTAAAAAAAAACCTTTGAAGTTCACATTTTGTTTGTTAGTAATATTTATTTGTGAGCACTACACAATAGGTACTAACATTCTCCTTCCCATATTAACAGACTAAGGACTGCCTATCACCTATTTAGACCAAAGGTATGGTTAAAAACGTTTTTTACAGTTTCTTTGCCATTTAAAATATACATTTTGAAATAATAAAAAAAATATAGGAACAATACCTACCAAGGATAAATATTAATAATTTTTTAAATAATGATTTTAAAAATACATATTAGGTATATTATAATATGTTACCAAAAATAAAATATTTTTTGAAAAAAAACAATTTTGTGTTTGTAAAAATAATTACGACATTAATTTGTAAAAATGTTAATAATTTATATTTTTAATGGCAAACTGTAAACAACATTTTTAACTACGCCTTTGATTTAAATAGGATATAGACAGTCTTAACTCCTAAGTTTGTTGAAATGGGAAGGGAACATTGTAGTATAGTGTAGTACTTACTAAAACAATTTAAGGGACCCAACTAGTGTAATACCTGAAAAATCCGGAATCCAACTAGTGTAGTATCTAAAATAATCCCTAAACCAACCAATATAATTAGGTTAGGTATAAATTGAAAACCACAATAAATATTCATAGTTCATGAACAATTTATTTAATATTACAGTTTATCTATCAACATTTCTATGACATATGTGTATCTATAAACAAAACTATATAGTATCTACAAATTTAACATAATACAAAATGTATTATTAACATATTAAACAATTTATTTTAAGAAGTTTAATTTATTTAGTTTAAAAATTAGAAGTATATTAGTATATATTTATACGGAGAGTTGGGACAGAGGCGTATGTTATATTACCTATAGTACCTGTGTGCTGTATGTGCACATACTATTATAATGTAAATGTATTCATGTATAGGTAGTAATAATAATTATATTGTATAGATGTATAAAATTGCTATTATAATCCATGCAGTAAATGGATAGAGTTGTATTCTATCTCAATTGAATTATTAGAACGACATAAACTAATTTATTATGCATTTATATAAAATATTTATTAAGTCTAGAAACATATTTTTGTTCAGACTTTATGATAAGAAAATATGATTTGAGTTAAAAATTAGTTGGTTTAAAAACTATTTATTTTTATAGTTTGAGTTATGTTTCATATAAAATTAGCATATAGTTGAGATTATCATACTCGTTGCTTAAATATTTACAATCGTAATCACAATTTACCAAAATTTTTTATTAACATACATTAAAATCACATTACATTACATTATTAATCATCTAATAATTTTTTAATAGTATTTTCACAGTTAAAATTTTAAAACAATATAATGAACAATATAAATTAACTTACTGAATAGCCAAGCCGACGATGATCAAAGAACGAAGCAAATGGCCCATTGTCATTTTTAAGGATGACGATACCTAATACTTACAATTGTGGGCAATGCTAGTATTTATAGTACTTTATTGAATTAAATGTAATTATTTTAACAGTTGTCCATACTCACATTTTATGTAAATATGTCCATTTAGGTGTTGACAATAAAAATAAAAAAAAAGATTAATGCACATCATTAAACTGACGAAAGTCGAACGAATGATTAATGTGTTTTATCAGGTTTTTCTAAATGAAAACAGTTTTAGTGAAACAAATCCGTCGTAAACCATTCCAAATTGTATATCGATTGATTTGTGAAATGAACGAGTAAATAATGGATAATGGACCCGATTTTCTACAAAAACAAATGAAGTAGTGGAGTACCTAAATTAATGAAGTATCAAGTTTAATTATTTTGAGCAACAGGAATAAAAAAAAAATGATTGAATAACGTCGTACTCTTGTCGTTTTAATATTAAAGCTAGTCAATAGAAATACTTACACGCTAAACGTTCCTTATAAGAATTTATTCAGTATCATCCTCGGCTCGGTAGGTATGTGTTTAATGTTTACATATTATCACTTAATAATAAGTGCCCTGTTAATGTTTCAGATATATTGTCATAAATTACACCATGTGAGTTTTTTTTCCCACGGCTAGTGTGTTCAGCTATAGAAGAAGAAATGTTTTTCATCGACCTACAATGGTTAACAATCGAATAAGTATCCATTATAAGACTATAATTTTCGAAGTCAATAAATCTTAGGTGAAAAACATTTTATGACTGCGATCGTTACACTGATCTTTTCTTAAAAGTCCTGGGAAAATGTACACATAAACTCTTGTTGTGGTGTAATTTCCAAATAAACGTACCTATACTAAATGAGTTATACAGTATTCGATGCTTAAACGTATTGGATGATAAATGATAATATTATAGGTATATTATAATATTAACTATTTAATTTTAAATTTTATTACGAATCAGTAACTACAATTTAATCTATATTATCAATTATCATATACATATAAGATTAAAGATATAACACTGTGTATTGCAATTTCATCAAGTTATGGTCAGTGTATTAAGGTTTATTATATTGGACATAAGAATTTTGTTATACACTTATACCAAACATTTTATTACGCAAAACCAATTTTTTTTTTTTATTTCAAAATTGCATATCTAGATTTTATTTTTATTACATGCAAATTGCAGTGTGCACTACCTAATACAGTTTATATGTTTTATTAGTTTTCGTGTTTTATAATTTATACATATTACTGAATATTTATTTTCCTCAAAAAAAATCAAACGCATATAAATATTATACAGTTCATATAACGTAAATATATGTTTTGCCTTTTATTTTGAATTAACTGTTCCAGGTAACCATGCGTGACGAAATTTAGTTAATGAGTAATGAATATAATTCAATACTAAAAAAATGTGTTAATTAATTTTAAATTGATCTTGGTAATTTATTGATTATTTTCTTGATACTGAATTTTGATCGAAAAAGTTATTAATTTTCATTCAATTAAAATAAAAAATCATTTGTAAATATATTTAGAACATAATGTAATAATGATATAAAATATATTTATTTATATAAATAAGCGTGTTTAAAGAAGTTACTCATTAGTATAGGACCTCAAAAAAAAGGTTATTTTTTAATTAACCGAATTATGTTTATCAAAACTATTCATAAAAAATAAAGTATCCATTTTTTAATGATTACATTTTGTCATTTTGAAAGCGCAGGTTAATAATATAACCTAATACAATATAAAAATAGAAACTATAAGGATTTATTAACATATATTTATTTTTGTGAGTATATTGATCTTATTACCACCAGTGAATACTGCTCATGTTCGTTAAAATTGTTTAAATGTTTACGTTTATAATTTGATTTTGTGTCTTATTAAAATAATTATAGGTTTTATGTTTATTCTGAAGATCATAATATGAAGTTTCAAGTTTAAGAGCCTTGTGAAAATATTTCTATTCATTTTTGTTGCAAGATTCACGCCCTATCGACTACATGTACGATGTACCTACCTATCATGTTATGTATAAAATACAGAATACCTACGACTTATTCATATTTCATGTGGTTTCATGTAATAAAAATAATGGATTTCAGTTTCATTAACTATAGGTTCATTTCTACTTGCGTATGGAACCAGTACCCAGTATTACGTTTCTAAAATCGTTTAAAAAAAGTTTTAATTAAACGTTGAAACATAAGAATTTCTAATTATATATTAACCATTAATGACCGATGACGGGCAATGTAATGTATATTGACTTTATATAATTGTCAAATAGAGTTTAAATAAACGTTCGGAAAAATAATTCTTTAACTTTAATTTCATCATGACTTGTCAATTGACTATTATACGTGACTGGCTTTCTATGTGCGGGGTATGCAATTATAATAGTTAATATTATTAGTAAGTATACGGCGTCGTGGATACGCAATTAAACCTACACGGAAATTATGATATATGTATTATATTATAACGGCGCAGCGGGATCGGTGTAAGTGTGTAACACACCAACACGGTTTGGATGCAACTTGATTTGGGTGTATATAGTTGCAAGAAAATTCAACGTAAATTCAAGATTTACGCGATTACCAATATATGGTTAAATTTGTATAAAATTAAGTGTCATCAAAACTCTGCTTATGTACGTGTTTTAAATAAATATGTTAATTAAGAATTTATTTATTACCATTTAAATGTCTAAATGTTAACGATAAACATAGATTGAATGAATTTAAAATCGTTTGCGTACGATAAATCGTGGTCATTTACTATAAATAATATATATATACATATATTCGATACACAAATATAAGTAATAATGTGAAAGTTGTACCTGTTTACTCGTACATGTTGTAAATGGTTATTGTTTATAAACTATAACTTAACTGCCGGGTAATTAAGAAAATATGGCTAATTTTGCTTTCCCGCATCAAGACAAGTTATACCTTTGTTTCTACTAAAGAATTAATACCTACTTAAATCAAACATTTAACTGTACATAAAAAATGTATTTAAAAGATAATTTAAGTTTATTAATTGTACCATGATAACAGTGGTATTTACTTTTTGGTGTATTGTTATACATAAAAGAAACCGGTTACACATAATATTAGTCATAAGTTAGTCAACATCATCACCAATCATAATTTTCTCAATCTAAATCGCAAGTAATAAATCAACAAGACAACAAAGTTATGAGACACTTTCAAAAATTATTTATTTTTTCTTAAACTACTACCTAATAATATTATGTTTGTAAATTATATTTCACCATTAATTACTTAAAATTAAATATTAATAATTATCTTAATAAAAATAAGAGGACGTCAGAAGAAAGTCGCTGTTGGATGTGTCGACTCTGTCAATTTTAGGTTTAGAAGAATCTATATTTTACCCTGTAGTTTTAAATATTAGAGTTGATCGATTTAGATATAATCTAACTTATAAATGTAATACTATTATACAGAGATTTACATAGGAATTTTTTTATGTTTTTATTTTAAAGTATTTTAAAATTGTATGTTTTCAAATAAGTATATTCATTTTTTAACACTTTCAATACCTATACTAGGGTATCCACAGTCCATATACGTTGCTGCCAAAAATTAATATTATCAGTACCCAACTAATAAATGATAATCTGATACTCATATAATATTTTCCCTGTGTGGTCTGAGACACTGAGTAAAGGTGGATTCACCTTGTATATCCCAGTGGGCATATAACAAGTATAGTTTTAGTTTTATTTTTAAACATTTTTATTCGATACATAGGTTTAATAAAGTGTTTTGTACACAATTATTCACGTGTAAGTTTTCATAAACAAATTTTTCTACAACAAAATATACGAGTATAACAAAAACTTTTAAATTAATTGATACATAAGCAATAAGGTACCTTACAAGACCTTATAAGGTCCATTAACCATAGTGTAGTATTTTTCAGTCAATCGTCAAAAATCTAAACGTTGAACATGTTAATATGTTGAATATAAGTGTGGAATTATAATGAAATTTATTTATTTGGAAAAAAATTAATGTGCCTATATTATGTTTGTAGGAATGTTAAAATAATAAACGAATATATGAAAGAAAAAAAACTGACATGAATAATATTACAAAAATATTGTGTAGGTAGGTATGTAGAACATATGTAATGAAGCGTGTAAGTGCCCAGCCTAATTTGAAGACACATATCATCGATTCAACTACTTGTTATACGAATTGCGAGTGGTTCTTATTTAAAGCTAGTTTTTATGACTTATCGCTAGAAGAATAAAATTGATTGTGAAAGTTAAAAGCGATTATTTGTTTAATAAATTATACATTTATATTCATCAAATTAAATGTAAGTATACCTATTATAAATTACAATACTATTTACCTACTTACTAGTATACATTTACAATAGAATAGATAAATATTGTTTAAAGAGTTAGGCAGAAGGTATTTTAATATTTATATTAGATACTTTTATTCACGAACTAAAATAGTCATATTAGTAAAAATTGAAATAGTAATATGATGATTCCTGTTATTTAAATTAAGTACATTAATATGTTATTTGAAATTAAAAGACATATATTTGTTTTAACATTTTTAAAGTTTTACCTATATAATGTACAATGTCTTAATATATAACTGTGTTTAAGTGATATTTCTACATTAATCTAAATTCTATTACAGAAAAAAAAAACATTTACAAAACACATTTATTTTTATTATATATAGGGTCAAAAAATCAAAATTTAAAATTAAGTTTACTTGTAGTAAATATTATACTAGGTGTCATACATTTTATGTATAGGTAAATAAAATAACATCAGTTCGTAGTTTAAGACCTATAACAGACTAAAGAAATAGGTATGTAGTTTTAAGTTTCCTATATTGAGTAAAACGAAAAATATAATTTTTATATATGATTGTGATTGTGAGTTATTAAAGATTTGATATTCAATCATTGTTATTATTATTAAGGTATGTCTTATAACGTAATAAAATTTAATTGGTCATTATTTTATACTTTATGTAATGAATTCTTACAATGTGCTCATTATAAAGACAATATACAATTAATTTTTATTATCGCCAAAAATAATGATATAATAGGTACTAGTTTGATGTTTATCGGCAATTATTTTATTAAAGAAATCAGATTCTTGTTTAATTAAAACTATAACCGAAATGTTCATATTACAAATACAAAACTCGGGTAACCCTTAACTTGTGGCCCTGTCGGCATTTGCCATCCATAAACGAATGTTAAGTCCTCAACTGATTATCAGTTATCACAATAAAATAATAAGTACTTCATTTTTATTATACTATTATAAGATTTTCCCTAACGAATGTCGAGTTAAGTTATACTTCTCAAGTTTAGCTATAATATGACAAGTTCTAAAAATCATTTATAGGCTGTAAGGTCACTAGTATCTGTGAATCGGTGATCTATTAAAGGAACGTAAATCACAGTTCATCTTAAATTCAATTAGATTTATTTATTTTTTAGTTTAGGACGTTTACGTATGCCTATATTCATATTAAAATTCCTAAATTATTAGAAACGCAATAGTTTTATCTCGATTCTAATGGGAATATATTTCATTTTACTGATTTAAAAAAAAACCTGTGCGTTTCAAAATAATAATGTTTGAATAACAATGGAATAATGATGGTTGCATTTTTTCCTTTCATGTGATATTTGATCTTTTTTTTTAGACACTAACCATATAAAAATATCAAATAATACAATATAATTCAACAAATACAGCGAAGACCGGACCTTAGGAAATATTATCAAGAAAACAATTATATATTATTATATTATAGAAGTGAGTAGGTGGTAGGGATACACATACAATATACTTTTTATTATTATAATAGTATAATGTAAATTAAGATGAAATGGATTTTTGGACATTTTCTGATATTGAAATTATATACACTCTTCAGTTTTTTCATAATATTATGGACCATACAATATTAGTTGTATACGCACGCAGTTTTTACTTAATAGTATAATAAAAAATTATTATTTTAATGAACAACAATAATAATATAATTAATACCTTCTCCAAGGATTAAAACAATTATGCACTATATTTTAACTTGTATTCAACGAAAGTATATTATTTATTAGGTAAGATTAAAGTTAAACATTTACTGCTTTTATCGATAAGTGTATTAAATAATTTATTTTGAGCTTGATAATATATGTACCTATAGGTAGGTAAGTATACTTACTACGTCGAATTTGTATATCATCATAAAACACGTTATAATTGTTACCTATACATTATAACCGTTACTGATTCGTTGGTTGATGTACATAAATTCGTCACATAAAATGTAAATAAATTGTTTCTGATAAGTTACAATACATTAATATATTTTACTAGTTACTACGAATACTACCACTGAGACAGAGCTACAGGAAATAACAATTCAAGATCTACTCGACATCACAAGTATATATTAAAAAAATGTTTTATATTTTTTTTTCAAGAACTTTAAGTTTTTATTAGTTATTTTCTAATACGTTTAGTATTTCAAACATTATATTCGTATGAACATACTTTGGTGGTATTATAATAATACATTCTCTCCTCAATCCCTATGAGCTAACTATAGCCGATATCGACTTATGGATTGATGTAGTTGGATGCTTCAGTGTTCACGACTCGATATAGGGTTATAAAATAATATTATAATATTTTGAATACTATTCTGCAGTATTCAGAAATTCAAAATGATTCGTTGGAAAACGATTGGAATTATCTGGATAAACTTTTCGATGTTTCAAATTAAAAACCATGAACTTTTTATCGACGGTTATTCATTGTTGTTATATTATGTATTATAAATATTTATCTCTGGATGTGCCACTCGGTGTTGTAGTCTCGCGTCTTACAGGCAACTGACAAGTGACAGGTAAGCTCATTCCCATGTTTTCCTCTATTGTTACATTTGTTCAAATTCCGATGTTTAGAATTTTGAAGTATAAATACTAAAATTCCATATTTTCAAATACTTTTTACTAATACATACTATTTTTTTGGCGTTTATCTAATTCAGTGTCGTGACCTATTCTTCCGTTGGCTGTAGCAATACCTACAGATTTTTTTTTTTTGCCGAATGGGTATCTCTATAATTTTGGACTTTTTGGTCTGCTTATTCACGCGTGTGATAAAAACATATTATCTTTGCTCCCCCCCTCCGGAAATTGTGATGGACTTCCGAGTTCCGCTTACGGTCGGACCATCGCCACCGAGGCCTAACCCCGGCTGCAGTGGCGGCGGTCACCTGCAGCTCTCGCCTACCCGTACCACGGCTCAAGCAGGATTAGCGAGCTCCCCAGAGGAGTATCTGCACTCTGCAGCCCACCGCCGCCGTTGTTGCGGCGGAATTATACATTATTTTATTATTATCATTATTACAGTTGACCGCCACCGGATGCTCGGGTCGCCTCCCCCAACCCAACCGTCATCTAGACACACACACACACACACACACACACACACACACACACGTACGCGCGCGCACACACGTTTACACACACACACACACACACAAACCTTCCACCGGCGGCGGCGCGCACCGAGAGAGACGATGCGCAGCGGCGGCGGCGGCGGCGGCGATTGTTAGTGTTCGCGCGCCGTAGCGGGTTTTATTCGGTCCGCAACATTTAGTAGCCGTAGTCACGTGCCCCGTGTGTACCGCTGCCGTCTGTCAGTTCGTCGGTGGCGTCGCAATAGTATCATTGTTATTATCTTTATTATTATTATAATCGTTATTCGTAGAGCACTTGCAAGAGTTCTCTCGGCAGTTAACCGACATTTCGTATCCGGTAAAACGGACTTTTTGAAGATATCGAAAAAAAAAAAAACCGTTACACTCTTTCCGGGCGTTAGTCGGTGGAGCGCGCGCGCGCTAGTCGCCCATCAATCCGACGACTTTCGATCCGGATCCGCTACCATAAGTGTAATCTACACGTCCGGCAAACGGAAGCGACGACACCAGTTATGGAGTCGCGTCTGCAGCGGTCGACGTCCCGGTGCGACCGCTATTACTATTGTCGTCGCGCCGCCGTCAACGCTTTCCCGATGACGTCAACGCTTGTGGCTGTCTTGTTTTCGCTGATCGTCTTGCAGATCGTATCCAACACAGGTAATACATATATATTATTATATACATATATGAATATATATATATTCATGTAGCGTATTTTTTTGAAATATTATATTATTTCTATTGTATTATGTATTATAATGTAGGTATAAACTAATTTACCACCTACCTACTAAAGTAGGATTTATAGCCCTTAAGGCTTAAACATAAAAATGTGTGTCTGTTTTTTTTAATTTAAATTTATATACCTACTTATCTAGTTAAATTATTATATTTTGTTTCCGACAATATAAAGTATGTAGGATATTTACCATAAACGCTCGGGAAATGTAGAAATTAATTCAGCAAACATGGGCAATGGGCATTCTATGCAATTTCCAATGTCCACACGGGCAGACAGTTATGTCATATTGTGTGAAATAAAGTACTGTGAAGTTGTCGGTGGTGCAATTAAAGGGAGGAGGGTCGACATTTTAAGAGCAACAAAGTTTTGATGGTGCCATATATTGTGTCAGTTAACTTTTATTATAAAAGTGAATTAGAAAATATAAATTAGATTGAAACACAATTGATAAAACTTTGTACACTTATTAAACTGACTAGATTACAATCGATTTATCCTATAATAAAAATAAGTATTTGTTAACTTTTAATTATGTTGTATAATGTATATTTAATTTACAGTGGAAAAGAGAAAACTAGTAGAATTTTAGAAATGTACCACTAGAAGTCCATAGATCATATTAAAATTGAGTGTTCATATATAATAATATATATTTTATAATGTTGCCTCCTTGGTTACCACTCATACTTTATTGTATTAAGTAGTAGGTAATACAATAAATAAATGTAACGTACCAGATATAAGTACCTTATAAACATTAGGTTTGTACTCAGTCAATCATGTATGTATATATTGATAATTAATATCAGTTGATAAGCATAATTACGTGCTTGCACCTAACCTAACCAGAAATCAGTAAAAACATTTTGTTGGCAAAATTATATTTTTTGTCTCATCAAATGTTTCTAAAATGAACATGCAAATTTGAATTTTCCGAAACGCCCCATCGAAGTTCAAAGCTTAGAAATTAGAACTTTTAAGAATGAGATAATGTATAATACCCAGACACCTGTATCAGACTTAACCTAACACATGAACTATAAACACATACATGTTGTGAACAGAATAACTATAACATAAAAATGTGACATAAAAGTGATTTTATGCCCATAAATTTCTTTAATTTTTTTTTCAAACCATCACTCACGCCGATAAGAATATTAAGTTAAGAATGTATTTTTTTTCCCATGATAACACGAATTAGGCGCCGGATAAGGGTGAAATTCTGTTTAATTTTTTTTTAATTTGTAGGTGTTAATTAAATTGTGAGCTGTAGTTGCCAGGAATCTTATACCTTGGCCGTAAAGTTGTGTACACAAAGCCAGACAGTAATCAATAGTTAATAAAGATTTAGACAAATATAGCACAGTTTGTATTTTTTCTATTTAGATTGTGTAGAAAATATGCTCCATCACAGTCACACCCGTCCTCCAGTGACCGAGAAGAATTTTCTGCAATGTGTCGTGCTTTTCCTACCCCCGGTAAAAACTGTACTTAGTGGGGGTAGATGCAAGTCTAACACTTTTACTATCAAACTAAATTAAACTAATGAATTAATTCATTGCAAAATCACACTATAATTTTATTGTAATAAAATAGAGACGCCATTCGCCTTATAGATTTAGGAATAGCGTAGTAAATACGATAATATCCATATTATGGCGATTGATGATAATTCAGTTAAAAGAAAGGAAAATACATTTCTTAACGTAGTCAGTAGGTGGCACATATTTTAAGTAGGTATTGAATTCATAGTTAAATTGACAAAAAAAAAAACAAGTATCACACCAACATAAAAATTATCAAAATTTTTAAGAATAAGATATTTAGAATTGAGATATTAAATTTATGATCCATAGTTCATAGCGATATGGAATAACCACCGACTACAATAATGTACCATGATTAATCATGCGATCATACGATTATTTTTTTCACATTTTATGGATGAGTTAATTTGGAGATTATTTTAATTTAAAAAACTATCAAAATGTAGGTATACTGTGTGTACACTATAATTACCTATGCACTTTTATGTAGATCTCTATATAAATAAACACCTAATAACGTTTTTAAAGTTCATGTATTTATGTTTATATTTTATTTTTATTTTAATACATAAAATTTCATCATTTGTGTCCAATAAATTATTAATTCAACTTTTATTTTTCAATTTGTTTAATCAGGGCTAAATTAAAGGCTATAGAAGGGGGGGCTAAGTGGGTTGAATACCACAGTTCCTATGCCCACATTAAAAAGACCCTTGGGATTCTATTTTATCAAGGTTATAAAATTATATAAATGTTCTATTTAGCAAGTATCAACATTCAACGTGTAAATATTTAACTCGAACTAGAATGTATATTATAATATTATGCAGGGATTGCACTGATTGCAGTTAGCATTTCTCTCACTGAAAATGGTTTTGAACATCAACAATCACCATACATATTATTTTTTTTAATTCTCCAGTTTGTATATGTATTTCTGATTGTAATTTACAAAGTATACTATTATTAATATTCATGTTTTAAATGTACACACTATATATGTTTTCGAGTAGTGATGACATTAGTGCACCCTACACATAAAGATAAATTCAATTATTATAGTTCGCAACTCCTATAGATATACATCGTTATCTACTGTTTGATTTATTAATCGTTTGGTATCGCCAATTATAATAAATTTAATACAGTAAGTTTGAATACTCAGAGTAAATATTTATTTCACAAGTGTTGAACATCGTTGTACATGCATATATGAAATAGATAAAATGAAACACACCCAATTTAATTTTTGGCAAGATTCAGACTAAGTTGGTGGTTATATGCCAATGAAAACTATCTCATGCAATATAAGTTTTAAATTATTATTAAATACTTTTGTTTGAGATAACTTGAAACAGTTTTTACAAACGTTTTATCTCATAATAGTTTATATTTTCAATTCTTACACAAAATGAAGGCGCACCTTCATCAAAATTGTAATAGCCAAAAGCATAGGAAAAACATATGAAAATTTAAAAAAACTGCGGTTTTGCCAATAACCAATATAAACTACAATTTATACCTTAATTACTAGTTATTAAAATGTTATCAAAGCTTAAGATGTTACTACTTTAGCCAATGCAACCTTATGTTTCATTGGTTAAAATCAAACGATTAATCTTCTGAGTAGGTTATCAAATTATAATTATATAGACATGGACATAAATAAAGGTGCATTCATTTTTGTGATTATTTCCCGATGAAGATATACTATAAATATGATTTTTTCTTTAAAAAAAGCATAATAGCTTAATACCAAATTAGTTTTTTTAAAACAAAATCGAACTAACCATATGAATTTATTTGATTTAAAAATAAATTATACATATAGACTAAAGTAGTATAAAACTCATTCAAAATTTATATTAGTGAAATATAAGCGAATATCATTACTAATCCATATTTTGCTTTATATGTGCAAATATATTTAACTGTACTTTGTTATTGATTTTGGTAAAAAAAAATCGTTTTCTTTACATAAATGAAACAAATATAAAATTATATAAAATTATATTATTTATTCTAGTGTTATACCAAGACATTTATCAAAAGATTTTAACCTTTACTCAAGTCGATACATTTTAAAATACTGTTTTAAAAATCGATTTTAACGTATCTGTAATGTTATGAAATAGTTTATAATGATAATTTAATTTTCATAATTTTCTTAATGTTTTTTTTGTAAACACACACTATAATATTTTAAAAACGAATTAAAACTTTCTCAATCTCTAAATATTGTTAAAACGAATTATTTCTTCGTCAGTTATAATGTAGATTTAAAACTAAAAGCTATTATACTTGCCCAAAGTTTTTTATGTCCTATATAATATTAATTAACATTTCCGTGTAGATTTATGTTCAAACTTGATAATATACATTTATATTAATAAAACCATAAATTTATGACGGATGAGTTGATTGAAATTTTTTTTAAAAATTGTAACAATACATGAAATTTACTACCTATGTTACAACAACAACGTCTATTCGGTATATTCTATACATAGTTACTTTCTAATATTTAATATTTATAACATGTGTAAACAACATATCTCCTGGAATACATACTAGGAATAAAAATATATATGCATAAATTACTCATTTCACTAAATTTAACCAACATTTAGATTAAACATATTTATATACATTGCATTTTAGTACAAATATTGATACATTTTTTAGATAAATACCTATACAATATATAATAAATACTTAGGGGATTAATAACTTCGGAGAAAATTATACACGTTTAATTTGTTTTTCAACGTTTTGATTATATTTGGTGATCTCATTTTAAGGAAAAATAGTGTTTTTTGTTAAAAAAAGTACATAATTTAAATATAACCTATACCTAAATTTTTTTTAGTTTTTGGTGTTACATAAGAAAATTTTTTTGATCGTAGCTAAAAAACATTACCAGTATTTGTCTTATTCAATCATTATAATAATATAGGCTTTATTATATCGTATTACAAGTTGCAACTTTTTTTTTTCATAGTTACCTATTTTCTATTTATGTTATACACAAAGAAGAAATAATAGAAAAAAAACATTTTTTAAATTAAATTTGGTTTTGCAGTTGGGCAGTGATCAAGGAAGATCTATTTTATGGTGATAGGTGAAGCTAGATGGTAGTGAAGGATTGTTTTTATACTTCTTATATTTATGGATACAAGTTTTAATATATGCATTTGTTTAGACATATACATAGTATTAAAAATGTATACTTTTTTATCCATCTGTATAGATATTATTTTTAGCGATGAAAAATGAAGAAATAAAAAAATTAATACTACTTATTAAAAATACAAATTAATAATGTGATTCTAATCCATATATTGCGACACAGTAAAATCATACAA